TCCCCGGCTCTGGAGTCTCAGGGTCCCCGGCTCTGGAGTCTCAGGGTCCCCGGCTCTGAAGTCTCAGGGTCCCCGGCTCTGGAGTCTCAGGGTCCCCAGCTCTGAGGAACACCAAGTGCACTTCTTCCAAAGCAGATCTGTGTGCTCTTTAGCACCCACAATTCAATCCTTTTCACCAAGTGTTGAAAAGTATACTCCACACCCTTCACATGTGTGGGAAACCCCACAAAATGTACAAGAATGCAAACACATGCATTGTTCTCTCTATTCTGGGGTGTTATTGGACACCCCCTGAAACCTTTCAATCAACCCTCATCCATATTCCTCTTGGTGTGGTCTGTTTGGGAACCACATGCTTCAGGAATGCAAACTTCTAGCTCCACCTCACACATAAAATAACAAATAAACAACAACAACAAAAATACCCAGCACATGCCATTGATTCATGGTGACTCTGTTGGAATTTCTGAGGCTGTAAATCTTTATGAGAAGAGACTGGTCATCTTGTCCTGAGGAGTTGCTGGTAGATTTGAACTGCTGACCTTCCAGTTAACAGTACAACACTTAACACACTATGCCCCTAGAGCCCCTGATCATAGCTGGGGAAGAGGCTTAGTGATCTGCATTTTATAAGTATGCTAAATGAGTCTGTGTTCCCTTGTGTTTGAGGAACACTGGCCTGGTCTGTAATAATTTCATTAATATTCCTCAAGATTACTTTGATCATTAGTGACTCCTTAACTCTCTATAGGCTCACAGAGAGTTCGCAAGTTGTGAGAAAATGATAATTTTAAGGTCCAGTGTAAGGCACCTTTAAATTCAATCTGAACAGTTTCTTTGTAATATGGAGTCCCCCGTCTCTGTCCTTCCTCTGTCATTCTGAGCACACTCTGCTTGTATCCCTCAACTGCTCACCTAGACCTCTAGAGAAGCAGATTTTTTCCTATATGAGCTGCTGGACTTAGACCAAACTCTTCTTTCCTGGGCACCCAGGGATGGTTCTAGCCATACGTGGCCGCACAGTTGCCCTGGGCTCTTTTTCTGTCCTGGTCAGAGCTGCCACGCCCACAAGCACTTTCAGAGTTAGTGTACTTCCCCAGCTCCACCTCTGGTTCCCTAACTCTGCCTCTCAGTACTCCCCTCCCCACCCCCACTTTCTTATATTTTTACTGGTTTGCATATAGTCATTCATGTATATTGTATTTAATGAATGCACATTGTGATTTTAATTTTTTAATAAAATTTTTATTTTGTACTGGTTTATTTACAAATGCATATACATTGTTTCCCACACTGGATCTTTCTTTTCCTTTACCTATCCCTCTATTCCTCCATCAAATTATGCAACCCTATGGTTACCCTCCCTGCCCATCCTCACCCCTCTACTCCTCCCCTCCCCTCCTTGGATCCTCATACACATTTTACTAGTTATCTTTCTACAAAAATGGTCATATGCAGTATTTGTCCTGATAGGACTGAGTTAGTTCACTAACTGGAATATGTTGTTTTGATTGCTGTCGAGCTGAGCATGACTCATAGTGACCCTCTGAACAAAAGACCTGAATGGAGCCTTTCTATAACTATTGTCATTTCTCAAAAGTTCAGAGAGTTTCCAGAGGCATGTTGTTTAGGAAGTGGATGCCACTCCTGCTTCCAAGCTTGGAATATACCCCGAGACAATTAGAACTGAGACACAAATAGATACTTAAACACCAATGTTCAAAGCAGCATTATTCACCATCACAAGAACATGAAAGTAGCCAAAATGTCCAACCACAAATGAATAGCTTGAGATATTATGGTACATGATGGAATACTATGCAGCA